AGGCTTTTTCTGATGGCCAAGCTGCCAAAGGGCACCTGATTTCTGCAAGTGGGAGTTATCAGTTATGCTTCACCAGCATCTCACCCAGAGACTTAACTGTTGACCTGTTGTAGATGTCAAGCCAACATGATCTGCTCTTTCTTGGGTGCCACTTTTTGTTCCCAGAACGAAAGAAGGAGCATCCTTTAGACCTCGTGGTCATCATGTTACTGGGGCAGGTGGGTTGTAATGGTCCCTTGCTGGACCAGTGGGTTTCTGAAAGGAGTGTCTCTGCCCTGCACAGGCTCCTGGAGTTACCTGAAAGTTGAGTTTTGGACTGAAGCACAACCAGCATCGCTGGCTCTAGCTGTCATAAGGCTGTAGTATGAGTGATGTGCTGGAGGGGAGCATGTCCCAGAGGTCTCAGCATTGCTGCGGGAACTCTGTGCTGAGATGAGCTCTTGCAAAGATTGCTCATGAGTCAGAATGGGAGCTGGGCCATGGGCAGAAGGCTTTGGGTTCAGGAGTGATGCTATCAGTGATGAGAAATGTGAGTCTCAGCAGCCACAAACACCTGAAAGCAGCTACTGGGCAGATGTGGCTGCCCTGGAGGTTTTGGGGAGCTGTAAGGCTTGTCACCACTCTTGATCCACCTAAAACACTGCTAGATGCCTATCCCTTGTCGGAAGGTTTGCAGAGCCGCACGCAGACACACTCAGTGTTAGTCATGTTGCATATTTGATGGGAGCAATGCCTGAAACTTAGGGAGCCAGGAAGAGACAAAACAATGTTTTCTCTGCACCGAGTACTTCACACTAAAAAGGCACAATTAGGGCCTTATAGGAAGCCTCGTAAGGTCAGAAAGTCTCCAGAGAGGAGGCTGCCACATGTGAGAATGATGTCTGGATAGGGAATGGCTCATCTAGAGGACAGCTGGAAATCTCTGCTGTGCAGGAGGAGCTTGGAAAGCTCAGGCACACTGACACTTGCTAGGGACACTCCTGCATGGGTGCCTTCAGACATGTATACCCATGTGCCCTCCTTTGTACCTTCAACAACTTCTGTTGCACTTGAACTGCCATGGGACCCTGCTTCATGGAGCTGGGTGGCTCAGCAGAGTGGTCCTGGCTGTCCACACTTTGCAAAGCTCCTAATAACTCCTCTGTGGGGGAGTCCTCTGTGGGGAAGTCCTACCAAAAGTCCTACCAAAACCATTGGTTTAGTCCTACCAAAGCCATCATTCAGGAGACTTCCTCGTGTGTCTAGCAGTCCTCTGGTCCAACAATGTGTGTGTCTGTCAATCAACAGTTGAGGCACCTCTCCTACTGTGCTTCTGCTCTTTAGCCTTCCTCAGGCAGGCATGTAGTTTAGGTTGGACAGACCCTTGGACGTCTCTAGTCTCTAGCAAGTCTCAAAGCAGGGTGATTTTGTAAGTAGATCAAGCTGCTTAGAACTTTGTCCTGTTCAATTTTGAGCATCTCCAGGGATGGACATCCCACCAGAACTCTGGGCACCTGTTTCAGTGCTGAATTACATCTACTGAGAATTAATTTCCCCCTAAAATCTTGGTGTATTGCTAGACCTTTCAGCAACTGTTGGTCTTGTTCTGTAGGGTGCTGGACAATAGATAATGTATTATGTTGACCTTTCTTGGGACAACACTTTAGGAGTGTTGATACAGGAAATACCATTCCTGTAACACTGTAGGGCTGGGTAGAAGTCATGAGAGTATAAAAGCATCTTGTCCCAAATGGGAAGCTGTTGCAAAATCTTCCCATTCTTTGAGCCCAGTAATATCTTGCATGTCTTCTGGTCTAGCAATTGCATGTCTCTGGTCTTTTCTGCCACTTCTTTGCCTTCTACTTTTGTTTATGTTCTTGGGTACCTGTGGTTGAGGCTTTTAGTACAAGGTACAACATCTTGCATAAAAGGAGCCTTGGATCTTTTTCTTGGTCAAGTTATTGATTAAATGCCTACTTTGTTCTATGGCACTTCTCAGCATGGTTTTCACTCTCTTTTCTTGTAGGAACACTCACTTCTGCTGTGTCAGGTCCATGCCTGATGCTGCCTGAAAGGTCACTTAGGTCAGGGTGTTCCTAGCCCGGTGTTTTGCCACCTCTGTGTACCTGTTTTCAAGGCAGGAGAGGTTGCAAACATGGCCATTCAGACAAAGCAGGAGTAAAGTCAGCAGCAGGGTCGTTGGCAGAGATGTTTGTAGGTGCTTGAATCAGTGGCAGTGTTCCTGCAAGACTTCTATACTGCTTATGCTTCCTTTGGGTTTCTTTGCATTTTCTTCAATACCCCAGATGACTCAAAAAAACCCCAGGCTAGTTTTGCACTGTGTCCTCTCCACATTCTTCAAAACACTAAATGTCCTCTGCTGACCATGCTATATCCACTAGAAGCACTAGAGATACATGCTCAGGTTTGCACAAGCCACTGTAAAAGAGTTTGGAAAAAGTTTGCAGGTAAATAAATGCTGCCTTTTGGATTGTTTTGACTGTTCTGTCAGCACCATTAGCCCTGAATTTGAGTACTGACATTTGTGCTCAAAGAAATTCCATGTGCACGGTTATAGCCTTGCACTGAGTTACCGAACCAGCCTTCTCCCTCCAGGACCTCGGCTGGGTGTGGGGAATGGCCCTGCAATTAAATGAAGTTCTTGCAAAGTGCCACATCCTGCTCTTTCATGCGAGAATTTAAATTTAGGAAAACAAAGAAACAATAATTCTGATGGTGAAAACCACAACAAGCGTGGGTCCATCCAATCCACAGATATTTCTCACCAACAGAGGAAATATTCTGCTCATGGGTGATACCACTCCAAAACAGTCACGAGCACTTTGTGACCCATTCTGTCTTCTGATGGGCTAATTCCCTATCTGGATGCTCATTCCTTGAGCTCCTTCAACCAAGGTGACACTGTCCTTCTAGGGCTGTGGATAAGCTTGGTCCATGGAAGACAAGGCAGTACATCTCTATGGCCTGCAGTTACCACCTCAGAGCAATCTGGTGCAAGAGCAAAACCTACTTGTTTTGGTAGGACTGAACATATCAGTCAGTAAGATGGAGATCCTCCCACTGCATGGGAGCGGGCTGCTCTGTTTCTCAGGGAGGATTGTTGTGTGTCTGCTGGCACCCAAATTCAGGAAGAAGTAAGCATCCATGGAGTGGAAGCTCCAGCCTTTGACCAGGCTGCTGCTGTGTGTGTGAGACACCTACATTCTCTTCAGCCAGGGTAGCTCCTCACCTTTTGTGTACATGGCTGCAGGTAAGAGCAAACTGCTCAGGAAAACCTGTCTTAGACCAACATATGGGCAGCCTGTGGCAATTGACCTGTCACCTCGTATCTTGCCGCACGAGTCCAATATGCTCTCCAAACTGATGTCCTTGAATAACTTCCCAATACAAACTCTGCCATTACAGCTCATGAGCCAGGACCCAAGGAAGAGAGCTGGAGCTGGTGTCAAAGGGATCTTCTCGAGTCAGGCTTGTTTGGTCCTGGAAATGACGCAGCCTGACTTGAGTATCAGATGGTTGTGCTATGAAATGAGCAGGTTCCATTTTGATCCTGGTCCGGGCTTTCTTCTAATCCAGATGAACTGTTGCATCACAAACTTTGGACTTGAAGCTGGCTGCAAAGATCCTTACTTGCTGGTTGTCCTGTGGAGACCTGATGCTGTCACAACACATTTGCTGCTTGTTCTGATCAAGGCAGCAACCAGGAATACCCTGTCTGACTTGCGGTTCCTGGGGCTTGTGTAACCCACAGGCTGGAGGAACTCTTTTTTTATGGGTTTGCATGGCAAGGTTTTGGTAGTGGGGGGGTTATAGGGGTGGCTTCTGTGAGAAGCTGCAAGAAGCATCCCCCATGTCTGATAAAGCCAGTGCAAGACGGCTCTAAGACAGACCCGCCACTGGCCAAGGCCAAGCCAATCAGCGACAGTGGACGGCCCCCGCGTGTAAC